AATTCAGTCCTAGAATTTTTATAGAACATTCTGGTTTCGGATTGTCATCAGCTTCGGATCGCGCGTACAAAATGTCGTCATTCGCTTCGTTTGAATCTCTCTCAGTTCGGTTTTCCTTTTCTGTCGAGTTGGTAAACACGTCTTGCTTACTCCCGAGGGGTTTCACTTCAGTTAATGCGGTTTCGTCGACTTTACTGCACTTCAGTTCGCCGGCGACTTTCGTCCGAAGAATTGTCGAGTTGGAATTCCATTTTCGCAATTTAAATCCGCCAGAGTTCATGATGTCGTTTGCTTTTTCGTAGATTTCTAAAGCCTGGTCATCTTCCATCGCACCTCCAACCAAATCATCCACGTAGAACGACTCTTGCAACAATGCAACGACTTCGGGTTCTTTCGTTTTTTGCGATTCCAAATGACTTTGTATAACCGAATTTAAAATAGCTGGGCTTGGGGTCAACCCAAATACTAGGCGACAAAACTGATATTCAACAATGTCTGGATGTTCCTTGTGTATATCGTCGAACCACACGAAGCGCAACATTCGCCGGTCATCTGGATTTATCTCAATCTGGTGGAACGCCTTTTCCACATCGGCCACGATTCCTACAGGGTAACCCCTGAACTTTACAACGACGTCAAATAGGTGGGGAACTAAGTTCGGTCCCTTTTCCAGGCAGTCGTTGAGGGACAAATTCGATGAACCGTGCTTCGCTGACCCGTCGAAAACTACTCGAACCTTCGTAGTCGCCTTATCTTCTCGAATCACGCCGTGATGAGGTAGAAAATGCGTTGCTTCATCGCTTGCCGAACATCCAGGGACTTTCTCGATTATACCTGAATTTATTTGCTCTTGTATGACTTCATCGTACTGTTCAAGCAGCTCTTGATCAGTTCTCAAGCGTGAATGCAGTTGTCGTAGTCGTTTCGAACACGGAAAATATCCATTTGTTGTGGGCATACGATCATCCTTCCAGGGAAGGCTCACTTGATATCGACCCTGGTTCTTGTTGAAATTTGAATCTCTCAAAAACTCCTTCTCCAGCGACGGGTTTGGCTCGAAGATGCCAAGCGATTCTGTGTCCCAAAACCTTTGAACAGCGCGGATCAAACTTTCGTCTCCAACACTTTCCACTGGATCGAACATCAGCGCAGAATCCGTTTTCTGAACAATGAGTTGCGTGATAGTTGCATTCTTTCCAGGTGTCTTTGCATAACCACTGCCGGAGACCATCCATCCGAATTCGCTATTAACTGCCACAGGGCCCCCGTCTCCCCGCTGTATCTCACCCGTAATTATGTCGAAATAGTAGTCGGAACCAATTAAGATGTCGATATTCTGTGCCGAATCACTGTCGTTAAGCAGACTTTCATCAGCCAGATCCAACCCTTGCAGGTGTGTATGTCGGTCAAGGTCAAGCGTTGTCAAAAGGGGCGAGCAAATCTTAGGATAACAGAGTGCTGCGATTTCAATGTCTTTCGATTTCCCTTGCAATTCTACACGAACTCGATCGCATCGTTGTTTAACAAATCTATCATCTCCGAATGTATTCAAGTTCAAAACTTCAGTTTTTCCGAGCTAAGACCTAGCTTTTCCTTCAACGACTCTGTCACATACGATCGCTGGCTTCCGCTGTCCATCAAGACACGTACAGGAATTAAAGCATCTTCCACTTTCGAGTAAGCATACGCGGTCGCAGTTTGCAAGAAAACTTTACATTTCGATCGAGTTGCTGCAGTTGTCGAATTTTGACATGCAGTAATGGTTGCGCCTTTGCTTGCACTTGTTTGGGGCTGCTCTTCTTTAGTTGTCGATTTTGAATCACCGTCCTTATAATCCTTATCTTTTCCACCAGCGTTTGGGAATTTTGCCACAACCTTTTCGCAAATTGATTGGTGATGTCGCCCTTCGCATCGACGACACCTTTTCGACGGATGACATTGGTTGGCACGATGACCGACTTGTAAGCACACGAAACAACGATTGTCTCGCCTCAAAATTTCCTTTCGCTCACTGGGTTTCACTTTCGATTCACACGAAGCTGAATAATGCAGATTCCCACAGTAGGCACATCTGATCGCACCATACGGTTTACTATCCCTCCCTTGAGCTGCTAGCGAGGTAGTCGTAGATGGAAAACGAGGTGGTGGTTTTACCTTCTTCTCGCTGTCGGCCCTTACATAATCACTTAATTCACGAGCTTCCACTTCCTTTCGTATTATCTCTAATAACTCCTTTATCTCCCATACCTCTTTATCCGATTTTCTAGCGATTTCAAGTCGAACGTCCCCAGGTATCTTGGACATAATAACTGGAATTAGTAAACTCCCGTACTGATCCGGTTTTACACCAAGAGCTTCTAATCCTCTAACGTTGACACTTACTTTGTCATATACAAACCGCAATTGCGATGATTTCTCCCCAACACATGGAGCTAACTTCAAAAGTTCGTCCATATGGGCTGCTATGATTTGTTGCGATTTCCCGAATCTCTCCTGTAATATATCAATAGCCGATTGGTAGTTATCCGCTGTAACTGCCAGTCCCTTTATTGCTCGAAGCGCATTTCCCTCTAATAATGACAAAAGATAGTTATACTTGTCAATGTTTGTTAAATACGAATTTCGGTGTACAGCGCTCTGGAAACTTTCCCAAAAAGTTCGATAGTTTGTAATATCTCCTCTGAATTTCGGTAGTACCAACTTGGGTAGCTTAATTGCAGGTGCGTAGTGCACTGTCGATCCGGGTTGTAACACAGATTGTACCGTTGATGCGTTGATGGTATTTGATGATGCTTCCACTTGGTTCGATTCATGATTGTTCGATGTTTCCACTTGGTTCGATTCATGACTGTTCGATGTTTCCACTTGTAGTTGGTCGTCGTTCGATTGACTTGTCCCCTCGTTGGAGACAACATCAGTGTTTATTTCGCTTGTTTTAGAAGTCGTTGGCCCAGGTTTATCGATTACCTTGCCCGTCGCACTCGTAAATTTCTCGATTCTACTACTTACATCGCTTGCTCTCGAAAACATTTCTTTCGTTTCTTCGATTTCTCGTTCGATATCGTCGATTTCGCATAACTCTAGCACTTGAGCATCGAGCTCTTTAAGTCGTATTATTTTCTCGTTTAACAAATTCGCTATTGTTCGTAGTCGATCCTTATTCGTTTCACTCCCCTGATCTAACAGCTCGATCGCTTCTTTGCTGTATCTCGTAACAACTCCCCGATTTCCCGAGCGAATAGCTCGTATCCTTTTCAAATCTTTGTTCGGCTCGCTCATATTCTCGCGTAAACAACTCCGATATTTTCGATTTTAATTCAATCTTTCGTCAAAGCTAGCGCCCCACGTTGGGCGCCATGTAAAAAAACGTTCAATTTTACTATATATTTAATAACATTTAAACACATATCACAATAAAACAGCCGGTTCGGCACTGGCGCTAGCTTTGTTATATTTTCGCCATGTCTGGAGGCGTGAACTCTAAAAAGAAGGCGGGTTGTGGGCGTGCCACACTAGCTTCTGATTGGCGCGTTGTCTCTACGTCATTACTATCATTTATAATGTTAATATAAACCTGAACCGTTCGATACACTGTCGTATCTGGGTTATCTTTTGACATGGTTCCTTTTAATTATAGTAGAATTTAACTAACTTGCAAGTAACTTTAAGTCTAGTCAAAAGTTAGTTAAGACTAACCTTTAATCTAGTCAAAAGTTAGTTAAGACTGACCTTAAATCTAGTCAAAAGTATCTTGTGACTACATTTGAGTAACTTATGACTGCATTTGAGTAACCTCAGTTCTAGTCAGAAGTATCTCAGATTCAGAATAAACAATCTATAGACAAGACTTCCCTACGTATAAACAAAGCAGCCATGAGACAATTCAGGAGAGATAATAGGGTCCAGCTCTACTTTAATTGTCCGGATAAGATAGACCGAATTGTAAGAATGTGTAAGTATACCGACTACAAAGACATAACTATCATCATCCATACATTTGGTGAATCAGCTTTGCCAGCAAAACATAGAATTAAATTCGGAAAAGGATGGATGGGAAAAGGCGCAGAAATTCGGGGTGTTGATTACCTTTACGGAGGTCTGAAAGGCATTCACATCTTAATTACCATTTCCGAATCCGCCGATGTGATTGATTGTTGGCTCAAAGGTCCAAAGGACAGGATCCATCTAGGTCCACCCACGGACATTATAAATAACTGGTTCAGTATGTGTATGTCTTGGGAGGAAAGGTCGGAGAAAAGGGAAGAACAAAGAATAATGGATATGGAAAACGAAGCGATTATAGAAGAGACACGGACAGGAGAGATGGAAATGTTAGAGGAAATGCAGATGGATGCTGAAATGAGGGAAGCCCTTCAGGGTTAAGTTGATTAAGGTTGCCAGGTAGTAACCTGGCGAGGTTGTCAAATCCAAAAACACAGTTGCCAATCCCTGCCTAAAACAGGGTGTTTTCATGTATTCTCATACATTTTCATGCTGAAATTTAGCCAGGTAGTGACCTGGCGGGGTTGACAAATTAAAAGACGCAACTGCGGATCCCCCGCCTTACAAACAGAATCAACTTTTCCAAAATAAGTCCTATACAATAAAAGGGACATTTCTCATACGTCCGATTCCGTGAGCATTTTGTGAACTCCATTGCTTTTTCAAACCTTATAGGTCTGAAAAGCAGAATCAACCTTATGATCACTTTATAGATAAACTTTTCTATATAATAAAGCAATGGAGTTTACCAAACAAAATGCTCCAATTTCGGACAAAATATTCGAATCTATTGAACGGATGAGAACTAACGTTCTGGAAAAGGCCAGGAAGAGAGGTCTAGAAATAGAAGGAAAAATTAACAACCATTTCGACGAAATACTCAAAAAGGAAAAGAGAAAGGTCATTGGAAAGGAAATTAAACCGGCAGCAAGGCAGTTCCAAAGACGAAGGAAGCAAACCGAGGCTAATGCAAGAAAGGAAATAAGGGATGAAGAGAAATGGAAGAGAGAAATGGTCAAGGAAGAAAAAAGACGGCGAAAAAAGTTACGGACTGGAAAGCCGAGGCTCAAAAGTGGAAAAAGGAGACCCAGCAACTACGAAGAAACGCAAAGGCTCGCGAAAGGCTAACTGAGGAAAACCGTAGAATCGCAGAGGATAAATGGAAAGGCAATAAAAAGTTTGCCAGACTCCAGTTAAAGGTTGGCGACAAGCTTAGCAAAATCGGTGAAAAACCGAAGGAAATCCTGAAACCCATTCTAGCCAAACACGCCATCAAGAAAAAGGTAAAGAAGTATGTCATCACCCCAAACGGTAACTACGACCCGGCCTACTTCCTAACCATCACGGAAGACGAGGTTAAAACACTCATAAATTCCGAAAAGGAACCCAGGAACGTAAGGATGTCCCTGGCCTACGAAATGGTAAGGAGCGACACGAAAACCGGTGAAGAAGTGTCAAAAAACTTCGGATCAAAAAACCACAAACTTATCGGGGATGGGGTAAAGGTATCATGAGGGAGAAAATGTTAAAGTCCTTCTCAGAATACCAGAGGAGAGGTAGTGGGTGGAGACTACGAAGGATCGTTCAGCTGGAAATCCACATTGGAGAATTTCGACCACTTAGGGGTAAAAATCACGAACCACTACCCAAATCCATAGCTAGCAAGAAGGCAATTATCAACATGAAGAACGACGACGAAGAATGTTTCAAGTGGGCTGTCACACGTGCCCTAAACCCCACCGACACCCATCCGGAAAGAATTTCAAAGGAACTCAAAAGACAATCCGAAGAGTTAAACTGGGAAGGGATCGATTTCCCAACACCCATAGATGATATTAAAAAATTCGAGAAAAACAATAATAACATCGGTATTAACGTATTCAGTGCCGACGAAAGCCTCAAGGTCTACCCCTTACGAGTATCAGGAAAAACCGATCCCATAAGACTCTTCCTATGGAAAAACCACTACAGCGTCGTTAAGGACATGTCAAAACTCGTAGGTTCACAAATCAGCAAGAACGAACATAAAAAATACATATGCGACCGATGCCTTAACACATTCGGGTCAAACGAACTCCTAGAAAAACACTTGGAATTATTCTCGAACAACGACTACCAAAGACACGAATATCCAAAACCCGGTAGCACCACAAAATTCGAAAGCTATGAAAAGACACAGGAATTTCCAATTACCATTTACGCAGACTTTGAGTGTTACATCAGGAAATAGATCGCAGAAGAGCAAAGTCTAGACAAGTCAAGCACCACACAGTACCAGAAACACAACCCCAGCGGATTCTGCTACTACATTAAGTGCTTCGACGACTCCATCTTCAAACTCAAGCTGGTACACTATACCCAACAGTATGAGGGGGAAGACATCACCAAAAAAATTGTGGACATGCTTGTAGAGGAAATAAAGAATATCTACGACAAGTTCAAGTTCAAAGAGCCCGTCAGAATGACCCCCAAGGGATACCAAAAATTACGAAGAAGCAACCACCTGCTACGCATGTGAGGAAGAATTCACCCTAAAGGACTACAAAGTCAACGACCACTGCCACTACACAGGAAAATACAGGGGTGCTGCACACAACTCATGCAACCTCAAGATGAAGCAACCAAAATTCATACCAGTCCTCTTCCATAACCTTGAAGGGTATGATGCCCACTTATTTATCAAAAACCACGGGGTGAGCAGTGGAGACATCAAATGCATTCCCAAGACGGAAGAAAAATACATATCCTTTACCAAGGAGGTAGAGGTCGATAAGTTTAAAGGTAAGAATGCTAAGGAAAAATGGTCAAGAGGGAATTAAAATTCCTGGACTCCTTCAAATTTATGGCAAGCTCCCTTGACAAACTCACCAAGGGTCTAGGTAATGACGACTTCAAAAATCTGGACCTAATGACAACTCACTACACCAGGGAGGAACAAGAAATGCTCAAACAGAAGGGTGTAGACGCCCACGAATATATGGGCGGATTCGACAAGCTGGAAGAGACGAACCTCCCACCCAAGAGCAAATTCTTCAACAGTCTTACCGGCGAAAACATCAGCGACGCCGATTATGGGAGAGCACAGGACGTGTGGAACACCTTCAACATGCAAACCATGAGGGATTATCACGACCTTTACCTTAAAACAGACGTCCTCCTCCTGGCAGATGTTATAGAAAATTTCAGAGAAGTATGCAGAATAAACTATGGCCTCGACCCCCTATAGTACTACACAGCACCGGGACTAGCATGGGATGCGCCCTAAAACTAACCAAGGTGGAACTGGAGCTTATTTCCGATCCGGACATGTACCTACTCATAGAAAGGGGAATTCGCGGGGGAATCAGCACCATCACCAAAAGACATGCCATAGCCAACAACAAGTACATGGTTAATTACGATCCCAAGAAGAAAAGCAAGTACCTCCCCAATATGGACGCGAACAACCTCTACGGATGGGCAATGAGTCAGCCCCTACCCATCAAGGACTTCAAATGGATGAACAGCAACGAGTTGGAAAAATGGACGGAACACAGTTGCATCCTCGAAGTTGATCTAGAATACCCAGACGATCTCCCCGACCTACACAACCAATACCCGCCAGAAACAGAAAGGATAACGGTTAACAAGACGGAAAACTCATCCCTAACCTCGACAATAAGGAAAAATACGTCCTCCACCACACAAACCTAAAGCAATACCTGAGCTTGGGGTTGAAGCTAATCAAAATGCATCGCGGAGTTAAATTCCTCGAAAGGGACTGGATGAAAGATTACATCCAGCTCAACACAGACCTTCGTACCAAAGGAACCACAGACTTCGAAAAAGACTTCTTCAAACTTATGAATAACTCCGCATTCGGAAAAATCATGGAAAACGTAAGAAATGGGGTTGATATCAGAATCGTCAAAGACGAAAAGAAATGGAACAAGCTAGCCAAAAAGCATAACTTCAAATCGGCAACCATCTTCTTCGAAAACCTAGTGGCAGTTCATATGAGGAGAACCTCCGTAAAACTGAGAAAACCCATCTACCTAGGAATGAGTATCCTGGACATCAGCAAAACCCTCATGTACGACTTTCACTATAACTACATCAAACCAATGTATGGGAATGATGCTAAACTCCTATTCCCAGACACAGACTCACTATGCTACGAAGTAATCACCGAAGATTTCTTCAAAGACATTTCCAAAGATGTCTACAAAAATTTCGATACCAATAACATCGGTAAAAACCACCCCTCCGGAATCCCGACCGGGGTAAACAAAAAGACCATTGGGATGATGAAAATGGAACCAGGCGCAAAGCAGATCGAAGAATTCGTAGGGCTAAGACCAAAACTGTACGCCTACAAAATGGAGGAAGATGGGGATGAGGAGAAAAAGTCTAAGGGTGTTAAGAATGCAGTCATCAAAAAGGAAATAACATTCGACAACTACAAAGAATGCCTCTTCAGCGGTAAGAAACAATGGAGAGGAATGAATGTCTTCAGAAGCAGACTGCATGAAATATACACGGAAAGGGTCGTCAACGTAGCCCTATCAGCAAGCGATGACAAAAGGATAATTAATGAAGACGGAATACACACCACGGCAATTGCACATAAGGACCTAAGACAGTAGGAATACCAACATACCAGTTTTAATATTCGCAGGAGCATTAAAATTTAAATTAATCCAAGTACTCCTTTATTTATCCGTAGATGGACGCAAAAGCCTCTTCCAGGGTTCCTCCTTCCTTTCCCTCAGGTATACCCCCTCCCGAAGTAGTACCTGAACGGATACCATATCCCCAGACACATATATGCTTGGGAACCTACAATCTTGGACAAAACCCTTGAGACCATTCCAGCTAATATTACAAAGTTATTGAACATTGGCAAAACAAACTTTGTCTCCCCAGTTCAATGTTGTGAACAAGGCCGAAACAACTTTTGATAATATACCATGATACAAGCTCGACATTGAGTTGGGGGAGTGGGGGTTTAAGAATGGCAACATGATTCGACATGGAGTTTATCATAAAAATACGCGAATTTTCTATGGGGGGAAAATAGTCTCAACCAGTTATGTCCAAGACCCCCCACGAGGAACAAAAGGTCGCCTGTACAATGTTCAAATTGGCCATAGTAAAGAAATGCGAGTATATCGCCATGACGTTTGGAGCATAAACCTTTCATAATAATAATATAAGAACATTTGAAACGATTAACGAAAAGATTTGATGTGATATCAACGGTAAACGGGGATAGCAGCAAGATTTTATAGTAAATGATAGGTCTAGTCATTGTTTTAAATTGGAGTCGCCGTTTACCGTTGTAATGGCCTGTTTACCGTTCTTTTATCAAACCACGATAAAGATTATACTTGGTTAACCGTCATATAAAAAAATTCGGGTTAAATTATAAGTTTTAAAAGCAAGTTTGAGGCTCATAAACTATAGAACAAATGACGTCATCTTATAAAAAATACCTATATACAGCAACACTTGAACGTGATCGATATTTACATAATTGAATTAAATCCCAATTTATGTGTCTCGACCTCTATGCCCTAGTAACATGATATTACTCGCTTCTGGCGGTAGAAAACTATATATTTTAGATGAAACAACAAGAAAAATTCATGCGTTTCATGCGTATATTTTAGGATGTAACAAGTTCAAATAGGCATTATATTGCTC